ATCTAAAGACTCAATTTTCCTACTATTCCAGACATTGTACAAATCACTTTATAGGCATTCCCTCATTTAATCTTTAATTTAATTAGCAATTTTTTGAGATAAAGTGATGTTTTGATTTTTTTWAAAAATAGCAAAAAGGAAGTTTAAAAAGGTAAGTAACTTGCCTCAAGTTGCRGAACTACTAAACAGGGACCTGTCTGATCCTAAAGCCGATAATCTTTAGCCAATTCATTGAATTTTCAGGCATGCCGTGCAGATTCTTATTTACTGCCTGGTTCTTCATTTAAATCTGACCCACATATATCTTCAGATTCCAGAGCAGCGATGGAGAAATTAAGTACTTGCAGTTGGCAGAAGAGCTAATTCGTCCTGAGAGAAATACATTGGTTGTGAGTTTTATGGACCTGGAACAATTTAACCAACAACTTTCCACCACCATTCAAGAAGAGTTCTATAGGTATATTTTTTGTTAATCTTCATTACTTTGAATTGGGATAGAGCCTGGGAAGCCAGCTCCTTTTGGACTGGAAGTGTTCACTTTGAGGCAGAAAGGCAGCTGTCACAGTTATTTCTTTGCAAATAATAAAGTTCAGTGCTCTGAACTTAATGTAGGCCTTTGTGGAGCTAATCTTTTTTCGTGTTCATTTTGCTTTCTGTATAGTTTTTTAAATAGGAGAACTGWATTTACTTTTTTTTTCTTTTAATTGAGATGACTTGTCACTATGTTGCCCAGACTAGCCTTGAACTACATGGTTCAAGCATTCTTGCCTCAGACTTCCAGAGCAGCTGGGACTATAGGCATGCACCATTGTGTCTGGCTTAGGGATATCTTTATAGTAATGAGGTTGTGCTTGTTCCCTTAATATTTAATTTTTTTGGCTAAATCATCTGTATGTTTGTAATCCTCCCACTAATGAAAACCACCATTAGGGTCTACTAAAACAAAGTTTCAAAGGCCTTCCAAGTCTGCAAGTGCAGAKTTTTGTTAAGAATCTCATTGTATTTTTTAATAATATTTATGTTTTTAGTCATAGATGACACGATACCTTTATTTTATGTGGTGCTGAGATCGAACCCAGTGCCTCAGTACTAGGCAAGCACTCTGCCACTGAGCTACAGACCCAAGAATCTTGTTGTATTTCGATGTCTTTAATAGTATTATTAACATTTTTTTATGCCATATAAAATTCTTTGAAAACATTTAATGAGTCTGATATCTATTGGTAGAAATACTATGTTTAGACATTTATGTTTAGTAACTTAGGCTGACTTTTATATATATCACAGTTGGTAGAGTGCTTGTCTGGCATGCACAAGACCCTGGGTTCAATCCCCAGCACCACCACCCAAAAAAAAAAAAATTGAGCAGGTCATGGTGGTAGATGCCTATAATCCTAGTGACTTGGAAAGCTGATGTAAGATCTCAAATTTCAGGCAAGAATGGGTACTATAAGGAGATCCTGTCTTGACATAAAAAAAAGGCTGGGGATGTAGCTCATTGGTGAAGCATTTGCTGAGCAAGCACATGGCCCTGAATTCAATCCCATTACCACCAAGAAAAAGGGGCTGAGGAAATAAGCAGCATAGTTTGTTGTGAAAATATGCAGAGGAAAACTTGCATTGACAAGCGACAGAAAAATCAGATTGAACTAGAAGCAGCTGTACCATACCTTGTGTACAAGCCATGCTTCAGTTTTCTCTCTTGAAAGGAGCTCGTTTTCCAGAGGGCTTTCAGAACTCACTACTTAAACAAACCAAGCTGCAACAGCCTTTGGGAACTCAGATCAAAAGACCCACTTCAGTTAAATAGAACGTTTCTGCCAGTTTGCTTTCACATCAGGACATAAATTCTTCCCTGTCTTCTTGCAAGAATTAATCAAGAATGAAACCAACCTGGGTTCTATGGTGTACACCTGTAATCCCAGCAGCTCAGGAGACTGAGGCAGGAGGATCAAAAATTCAAAGCCAACCTCAGCAAGGGCGAGGCGCTAAGCAACTCAGTGAGACCCTGTCTCTAATTAAAATACAAAAAAGAGCTGGGGATATGGCTCAGTGGTTGAGTGCCCTTAGTTCACTCCCCAGTACCCACTCCCCCCCCCAAAAAAAAAAAAAGAAACCAAAAATATACTAGGATTTAGCACACCAAAAAGGATGCTGCTTTACTAGATTGTAAACAGACCAGAGAAAACTCACAGTATTGAGCATAAAACTGGCAGGGTGATTGTTTAGGTTGAGTTACCTTGGACAGAGAAGTGATCTGCAGTATGATTGCTGTATAATGAAAGACAATAGATAGTCAGGTACAGCATTTTATCTTTGATGTTTCTGTTTGTGGTGGGACAACAGAGGATTGAAAGAGGCTCCTAAACTCAAATTAAATAGAAGGTTCCTGCACAGGTAAGTTCCATGGCTTGATTGGGACCAGATGAAATTACTTAGCTGTAGGCAAGCATGAAAAGGGAAAGACGCCTTGCGGGTAGGACTCTAAAATGTCAGTTGTCTGTTTTTGTTTTTGTTTTTTTTTTTTTCAGAGTCTACCCTTACTTGTGTCGGGCCTTGAAAACCTTTGTCAAAGACCGAAAAGAGATCCCTCTTGCCAAGGATTTTTATGTTGCCTTCCAGGACCTTCCTACTAGACACAAGTAAGAAACCCTTTGGAAGAAAAGGAATTTACCAGTAGTGTACATGACAGTAATCAGTTAGAAAAGTTGGGAGATTGCCTAAATCTGCTGTTAGTTGGCTTAATGTCACATGAATCACTCTTACTTTGCTAAGCCTCATTTTTCTCATCTGTAAAGTCTTTTGGCTTAGGTTTTCTACCTAAATCATGCAAAAAGATGGATTTGTTGCTGTAACATTTTTTACACCTAGTGGTGTCAAGNGAACTCAGATCAAAAGACCCACTTCAGTTAAATAGAACGTTTCTGCCAGTTTGCTTTCACATCAGGACATAAATTCTTCCCTGTCTTCTTGCAAGAATTAATCAAGAATGAAACCAACCTGGGTTCTATGGTGTACACCTGTAATCCCAGCAGCTCAGGAGACTGAGGCAGGAGGATCAAAAATTCAAAGCCAACCTCAGCAAGGGCGAGGCGCTAAGCAACTCAGTGAGACCCTGTCTCTAATTAAAATACAAAAAAGAGCTGGGGATATGGCTCAGTGGTTGAGTGCCCTTAGTTCACTCCCCAGTACCCACTCCCCCCCCCAAAAAAAAAAAAAGAAACCAAAAATATACTAGGATTTAGCACACCAAAAAGGATGCTGCTTTACTAGATTGTAAACAGACCAGAGAAAACTCACAGTATTGAGCATAAAACTGGCAGGGTGATTGTTTAGGTTGAGTTACCTTGGACAGAGAAGTGATCTGCAGTATGATTGCTGTATAATGAAAGACAATAGATAGTCAGGTACAGCATTTTATCTTTGATGTTTCTGTTTGTGGTGGGACAACAGAGGATTGAAAGAGGCTCCTAAACTCAAATTAAATAGAAGGTTCCTGCACAGGTAAGTTCCATGGCTTGATTGGGACCAGATGAAATTACTTAGCTGTAGGCAAGCATGAAAAGGGAAAGACGCCTTGCGGGTAGGACTCTAAAATGTCAGTTGTCTGTTTTTGTTTTTGTTTTTTTTTTTTTCAGAGTCTACCCTTACTTGTGTCGGGCCTTGAAAACCTTTGTCAAAGACCGAAAAGAGATCCCTCTTGCCAAGGATTTTTATGTTGCCTTCCAGGACCTTCCTACTAGACACAAGTAAGAAACCCTTTGGAAGAAAAGGAATTTACCAGTAGTGTACATGACAGTAATCAGTTAGAAAAGTTGGGAGATTGCCTAAATCTGCTGTTAGTTGGCTTAATGTCACATGAATCACTCTTACTTTGCTAAGCCTCATTTTTCTCATCACCTAAGTCTTTTGGCTTAGGTTTTCTACCTAAATCATGCAAAAAGATGGATTTGTTGCTGTAACATTTTTTACACCTAGTGGTGTCAAGAATTGTTATAGAGAGTATTTATAAATTGCTATAGTACCAGGAAGATTCTGGGATATTAGTAGATCACATGCCTAGTATATGCCAAGACCCTGGGTTTGATCCCCAGCCCCATGTATATACATATATACATACAAACATAAATAAATATAATACCAGGAAGGAAAAAAGTTTTTCATACACATTTTGTAGAAAGTTGGCTTTTAAAAGAGTTCTATCCAGTTACCCTGAAAGTTTAGTGTTGGAGAAACATGTTTTTCTTTAGAGATGGCATAGGAAGTAAGTGAAGTGAACCAAATGCTTAAGATTGTCACATTTTTAGGGCACCATTTAGGGAATTTGGGAGAAAAGATTGGTCAAGTGATAAAAATGCGAAAACTCAGAACAATTGCAGAAGTGCATGAATCTTACAACACTCTAAAGCTTAAATTCATAACTTTCAACCATCCCTTTAGTAGTTACTTAAAGAAGAAATTTACTGGAAGAAGCTGAAGTGATRTGTTTTGAGAACTTAATCTCTCAAAATCACTTAAAAATTACCACATTATTTCACGTAAAATGAATTTATAAGGTAAAGGAAGTGTTTTGAACTTCTAAGTATAAACTATTTCCCCATGATAACTTTGTTATGAAAATATACTTTTTTTTTTTAGCAAATTGTAGGTAAGCAAAAGATGTGTTTGCATATAAAACAATGGGATCATTCTGTTTTATAATTTTTAATTTTTATTTATTTTATTTAGTTTTTCATATTCATTTATATATTTTCATGAATTTGTGTATGTTATATAATTTAGGAATGGGCATGTTCACTAAATTATTTGTCGTTTGATGTTTCCTAAGAAGGATAATTTATCATTGGATACTTTCATTAAAATAAAAAATTGGGGGATTTCCCATACGGAGAAGTTGAGCCAGGCCCAGTGGCACATATCTTTAATCCCACCGGCTCACAGGTGGAGGAGGCAGGAGAATTACAAGTTGAAAGCCAGCC